CCGAGGTCCAGAGCACAACACGGACTGTACATCTTACTCTGTATCACATCGCTAGTTTCAAGAGAGATCCCCAGAGAGCCAGGCAGCTCCAGATAACATTTCATCTTTCACATCTAATGAGCATAAAATGTCAAGGGATTTGGGGCTTATAATTCACATCTTCATGAATGCAGTTGGCTATCACACAGGTTTTTTTCCTCAGCCACTTAGAAAATAATTCAGAGCAAGCTTTGTCAGGTTTTTCTAAGACAGACAGGTCTGGAAGAGTCCCTTTCTTGAAGGAGGTCACCAATGAGGCTGGCATGACTAACGTTCTTGCAGAAGCCACCTGGAAAGACAAACAGTGCGAGTGAGGTCGTCATCTTTCACTTCCTCCTCCTCCTCCTCCAACCCCTTCACCATCTGCCTTCAACACTGATGGCTTTGTCACGACGACGACGACTCCTCATCCTCCTCCTCCTCCTCCTCCTCCTCTACTTTCTGCTAGTTCTGCTTGGTTTAACATTTTGAATATTTAATACTATGCTAAATTTTACAATTTAATGTCATTTCTACTCTAGAGAAAAAATTACAGACGTTGTTTCAGCGATATTCAACATGATTGGGTGTTCTATTCGGGATATTTGAATTAAGATTATTTTAAGCCTCAATTTGTTGCTCTTTCTCTGTGGACATTTTATATCTAAAGGTAGTAACTTCAATCAATAATTCATTAATTTTCTCAGATTCCAACATTAGGTAGGAAGAGAAAAACAGACTTCACTAGGATAGAGCCTTCAAGGCTGATGTAAATATGTTATAATTGCCTGATACCTTTCTTCGAACCTTGGTAAAGTGAAATGTGGTAGACATAATAGCCCCTAAAATTTAAACACATGGGGACAGGTTCATCTCAACATAAAGACAAGATGATCTCAGTACAATTTTTAAAAATTAGGGGCCAGCATGTGGCTTGGTGATTAAGGTGCTGGATTTCCACATGGCCAACTATGGTTCAAGTCCCAGACTCAGTGGCTTTGAAATCATGCCAAGTGCATGTGCATGCATACCCAAGATCCTGAGGGAACAATGGAGGAGAAGGGATTGCAGCATGGTTGTCCTCTCTGGGGGGTGGTTTCTCACTTTCTCTCTCTATGTCTCTCAAGTGAGCATACACACCCTATGGCAAAAAATCTTAAATATATATATAAACATTGATCTGTGATTTAAATTTCTAGTTTTCTATTAGTCTAAGCCCCCAGTTTATAATCTCTTGCTCGAAACATAGCACTCTACTTCTGACATTCTTTTAAGAATTTATCTCAGCATCTTTAGTCCTGTAATAACTGGGAAAATGAGCATCGGGAGCCTCTCAGAATGTTAGTGCTCAGTGAGATGGTAGAGTACATAGTTTCTAAGCCCTGACTTGACTGGCAAGAAAATAAAGGCCAAAGAAGAAAAAGGCCTTGTCCCATGTCACACATGTTGGTAACATAAAGACAAAACTAACGCCCTTCTGCTAGGGTAAATTGGTGCCCATTCTGGTCCACAGACTTTTTTCAATTACTCTTATCTAACTCACCACCAATCTTGCTTTAAAGAATTATGTACTTGTGATATAAATCTAAGTGACCTCTAACCCAATGCTCAGTTCTCATTCTATCCTGGATTTTATATTTGCCTCTTATAAACGTTACACGGGATGGAGAAACAAGGTAAATATGGAGCATATAGAACTTTTTAGAACAAAAGTTTTTCTGATGGAAGCAATTTTAAGGTTTCAGCTAATATTAACAGTAGAAAAGGAAGGGTTAAAATATTATTGGACTGGCCCATGGCCTATTGGCTAAGGAGACAGGATTCCACATGGCTGACCACATGATTCAAATCCCAACCCCGACAGCTTTGTAAAAACACATCAGGCACATGAGTGTATGTGCCCCAAATCCCAGCAGAATGGAGAGGTGGAGGAGAAGGGATTGCAGCATGACCACGGCCCACTGGGGATTGCTTTCTCCCTTTCCCTCACTCTCTCTTTCTCTCTTTAGATAGCAGAAATGCCATCTGGCAAATTATTAAAAAAAAAAAAAGAAAGAAAGGAAGGAAGGAAGGAAGGAAGGAAGGAAGGAAGGAAGGAAGGAAGGAAGGAAGGAAGGAAGGAAGGAAGGAAGGAAGGAAGGAAGGAAGGAAGAAAAGAAAAGAAAATAAAATTCTGGAACTTTATCTATTCTTTTCCTAAGACTACTGAAGTATGTTTTCTTGATAAGTATGTTTGCTTCAGTGATAATTTTGGTAGGCTAGCTCTTTCTTCAAAAAAATAAGTTAAAAATAGGTCTTTTCTCCAAGTTCCCTCATATTTAAAAATATCTCCTTTCAATATGATGGGAAGACAGTGCATGTGGCTATGTTGGGTTTTGTAATGAGTGAGGCCTCTCTGCAGATGCAAGAGGGGAGCAGGGAGGAATGAGAGCAGCTGAGCGAATTAGAAGGAAATTGTAGAGCAGGCTGGACAGTGGGACAGGACTTCCGCCCGCGGGCCTGACCCGTGCACCTCAGCTCTCAGAGTTCTGTTATCTGTGTTCTCACTACTGCCCCCTCAGGGCATCCTGTCTTCCCATCCCAGGCCTCCACCCTTGTCTCAGGCTGTTCCAAGTATAAGCACTTGTGAAACTTCAATAATAAATAAATACGTTACTTGTCACTTCATCTAGTAACTGTGAGAGCACACTGACTTGTTCAACATTTACTGTCTTCCCCATGCGCAAAGCATTTGTTGTCAGCAGAAAGTATTCCAATAAAAATCGAGTGTAGAGTGATTTTTAACAAACTAATGCCAGAATGCTGGAAAATAATTCCATTTCCAAGTATGCCGAAACTGCCAACCTCAGCAAAATTCTGAAAACTTATCGATTACTCTAATTTGTATTTAAAAATTTGTTGTCTGAATTTATCTTTGAATTCAGGTTATTTTCCATGTTAATGATGTCAGACTACAGCTTTTTTGTCTTACACATTCGCTGAAATATCTTAATACTATTCACCAAAAAAAAAAAATAGAGCCTGTATGTCATTAAAAGTTCAAAAGTGTTGCATTTTTTAAAAGACTTTTAGCACTGACTAATGAAAAAATATCAAGCACCACTGGTAAAAAAAAAAAAAAAAAAAAAAAAAAAAAGTTCTAGTATCCTAGAATATATCCACCTATCATATATTAACTCAATACATTTTATTTTAGAGAAAATGGAAGCCATAAACCCAGCACTTCCAATTAGTTATATTTAACACATTTTCCAAATACCAGCTTGAAGCTCTAAGGAAGCTGATTTTCAACCAGAACTGTTATTTCATGTGTAGAATCTGTCCCAAACACATTGCACTTTGGGAATGTACTTGCCTCTTCTGTTCAAAAGAGTGTAGTATAGGTGAGTACTCTGTTTTTACAGCATCTGGCAAATTATATATGCTTAGATAATTGTTGATGCGGTATGATTTGGGGCATGTTTTAAATTTTAAATAATGTCTTCAGGCTGATTCCATGGCCTAGTGATTGAGGGAGCCAGACCCCCACATGGCTGACAGTACGTTTGAGTCCCAGCCCTGGCAGCTTAAAATCACAATGAACATGCAGGTGTGTGGCTGAAACCCCCAAGGATGGAGAAACAGAGGAGAAGAGGTTGCGGCCTGACCATGGAGGGGGTGTTTTCTCCTCAATCTCTCTGTTTTCCTGTCTCTCTTTGGGAAGCACATGTGTCCTCTGGCTTAGAAAACAAAAAGACAAGACAAAATATCTTCAGAATTAATATGGATAGGACCTCGGTATTCAATTGGCTTGAAGAATATGAAAACCAAGACAGAGAGATTCAAGGTCCTTATCACCCCAAATTAGAGGAGGCAAGTGCCACCCAGCTGGAATGCTCACTCCCATGTGCCTCAGGACCCCAAGGAATCTTTCTGACCTGCTTAAAGGAACAGGGGACACAGCATGCTGTACATGCGCTAAGGCTCCCTCTAACCCTCTCCCACTGGGTCCTTCTACACCTTTAAAATAGAATGCTATGGAAGGGACGATGACGCAGTGCTGAAAGGACCTGAGCTCACGACAGATTGAAGGCCCAGGCGTGAGGGTCTAAACCACACCTCTACTCAACAGCTCTGGGATCATCCCAGATTCCTTGTACCCCCCGCTCCCTGTCTATGAACACATGAAGTCGAACTAGAACTCCCAGACCCCTTCCTGTCCCCAAACCTGTAATCCAGACTGTCTGTAAAAAATAAATGTAACTCTAGGACATTCTTTTTCTAAAGTAAAGTAGTAAGGGGCCTGGACGTTTTCATTAACAAATGCCAGAAGCTACACGGAAATTTTGGGTGCTCAATAAATATTAAACAATCAATTTAATCTTTCATCTGCAAAATGGGGTGAGTAATGCTGACTTGTCTCCCAGAATTTCATGTGAGAAATAATAAATGAGAACAAAGCGCTTTTCAGATAATGAAGTCATTTGAATAAGCTGCCTTAATAGGTCTGCGGTCTAGATAGATGGTGCAAGAATGAAGTGGCTTTCTCATTATTACATCTGTGAAATACAACAGTCCTGCCATCTGTTTCAGGAGAAACAGTCATTATCCTTGCTGATCACCCAAAGTCGGCATGACTAATTTCTGTGCAAATGGAATTTTTGTGTGTGTGATTTTGAAACATTTATCACTTTTAACAAAATGCAGCTTTTACTTCTACCTGCTATCAACATAGAATCCTATCTTGATTTAAATAGTTTAATGAGGCATTCCATCAGCATTCTACATTCTGCCCCAAGAAAATGCTTCCTGACATGACTGATAAGCTATACAAATGAGAAAAGTGTAAACTTAATAATCCTCCTACTCGAAGCCAGTACAATTCAGGAATTGATACTAAGGAAAATGAAATTTTTGCATTCTCGCTTCCTGGAGACTTCCAACGTATAGGACTTTTTGAATGTTTATGTTCAATCTATAATACTTTCTATATTTTCTTACAGTGTTTCAACAAAAGACAGCCAGAAGACAGTCTGATGGTGACAAGTTTCATGGACTTTCTAAGAAACCAGGTACCAAAGCTAACTTTATTCTATTTAATAATCTCTAAATAAGACTTAAAGAAATCTGAGACCAGCAGCTGGCATAATGGTTATATTGCTGGACTCCCACATGGCCGACCGCTATTCAAGTCCTGAAACTGGAAGCTTGAAATACTCCAGGTGTATGTGTGTGTGTGCTCAAAATTCTGAGAGTAGAATGGAGAAGGGATTGTGGTATGGCCACCTCCCCGGGGGATGATTTCTTGCCTTCTGTCTCTCTGTCTCTCTAGCAAGTACACAAGCCCTATAGGAAAAAAATCACTCTAGGAAAAAAAAAAAAGGTAGAATGAAAGAAAAAAGAAATTATATGAATACTGAAAAAAAAAAAAAAAGCCTCTTAGGACAAAAGTAAATCATGTGCTTGAGTAATTCCATTCTGAAGTCAGTACTCACCACAGTATAATTTGTCATAATAACATCAATACAAGAATATTACTTTAATTACTGAACACAGGCAATGTCCTGGGCAGAATGTCCATGCAGATGGACATTGGAGGCCCCAGGAAAGCCAAGGAAGGCAAAATCTCTAGCATGCATCAGAGACCACACTTCCTAGACATCAGGGAAACCACTGGGACCCAACCTATCAGGATCCCCAAAAGAAAGGGATCAGGAAGGGTTTCCTATGCCCTACTCTGGGTGCCAACAAAAGATTCTACCCATTTCCCTCTGTTCTCTTGCCTTCAACACTTGATCCACTTGTTTTTTTGAATAATTATTTTTCATGTAGAAAAAGGCTGAAAACTGTAACCACAGAAACATCTCACACAGGAGGGATATTTTCCTCCTCCGATTTTCCCTGAAATACTTGTCTCCTTTTGAAAAGAACAGAATCTTTATTATAATTTTTTCCTATAACAAGGCCTTACTTAATGTTCAAAAATAAATATAAAAGATGGCGCATGTAGGGGGTAGAATCCTCCAGCTCTGAGAATCAATGAGCATATTCAGACCTGCCTTTGAAATAACTTCAGTCCAAAATAATGCTTCCTCGAAAGTGAAACTGGTATCAGTAAAGTGTTAAAGAGATAGTAAAATAAAACCAGGAAATTATTTCACAGCACTACACACTCAAAGTCAGTGTCCTTTTGGGTCATTGTGGAGATGACAAGGTATAGATTAAGCCAGCTGCTAATACTCATTGAACTTTTAAATGTAGAACCTCAACAGATGTGCTCCTAGAATGCTATGAATTGTCCTCCAAAAGACAGTGTATCCTTAAATGAGTAATCTTCACTCATCACGTCAAGTGGCATTTTCTATGGCATCAAGGTTTTACTTAGTCCTTCCAATGAAGTATGTGGTGTTTGAATATGACATATGATGAAGCTGAATTTCTCTTCTTCCATGGATCACTTGGATATACTCCTTGTAAATTTATATGCAAAAACCTCTTTGTTTGATCATTTTTCATTTTTAATCATTTCATATTATGGGGACACAAACTTTTCTAAGCTTTTTGCCATAGGGCACATGTGCTCACTAGAGAGAGACAATGAGAAGGAAAGTGAGAAATCACTCCTCAGAAGGGATGGCCATGCCACAATCCCTTCCTCTCCATTCCCCTTCTGGGATTTAGGGCACACAGACACACACACACCTGGCACAATTTTTAAGCTGCTGGGTCCAGCCAGGACTTGAACCGGGTTCAGTCATGTGGGGGCCCAGTGCCTTAACCACCACAGCACCTGCTATTATCCCCCACTGTGACTGCAATTATCTCAAGAAATAAGTGTAAAACTCCATGCGAGATCATCGCATAATTAGGATCAGGACAGTTACTAAAGAATTAAAGTAGAGAAGACTATTTTTCTCTGGACCTCTCACATGCATCAGAAGCTTTGGAAAGAAGTAGGGGAAAAGATACTTTGAACTCTTTGAGAAAAAATTTCCCTGGCACATTTTTAAGTTATTTAATTATCATGTTTCAATTTAATTCTTTGAAAAATAAGGGAGAAATATGAAATAGGTCACAGGAGATGAAGGAAGATGGTGTCAAGTGTTATGAAGAGATCCTTGGAATACTTGATCTCATCAATGGGAGAATGTGTCCATTAAGCCTAAAAGACTCAAGTTATTATTCTGCCTTCTGTATAGCAAAACACTAGCCAACTGTACCCAGAAGAAAAGGTGGAGAGAGAATGGTGAAGAGAAGCAGGACCTAGCTATGCAATATTTTATTGCAGATACCTACCTAGATCTTGTTTCTAATTTGCTTCATCAAGGTAAAAAAAAGCCTAGCTTCACTAGGCTTTTTAACTCTTCAGAGACCAGAATACTGAAACATCTTATTCTATTTTATCTGAAATGTTCTTCTTTCTAGAAACTTAAATCCAACTTAAAGATGGCATTTTTTATGTCACCTTAAGGCAGTTTCTCTAGATTCCCCTCATCTAAGACATCGGCAATTTATTCTGTTTGCAAGGACCAGGCGAAGAGCAAACCTTACTAAATGACTTCTAAAAACCATCCCTGATGACTACAATCTTCAGGGAAGTCAGCATCTAACTGAGAAAAACATATAATTAGGAATAAATGGGAAGATTTTTACATGAAAGAATTAGGTACCTACGTACCTAGAAGAGCTTACTCCATTCAACCATTTCCTCCTAAACCTTCTCAGATATGCATATCCATGGAGTAAATCCAAGCTATTTCTTACTGAATTAGGAGACAAGTACTCTGAACATCCTGGTATTCATGCTACAGCAAGAAAAGCAGTATATGCTTCACCAATAATCTTTTTATTTGGTAAAAAAAAAAAAAAAGGCCTTTCGTGAAATGGTTTGTCAGTCAGGATTTTCTAATGGGACTAGACAAGTTCTCTAAAGAAAGTTAAAGAAATTATTTAATTCTTCCACTCTATGCAGAAGGAAAAGGGATTATGGGGACCAACTATGTTCCCAGCGAAAGAATAAGCATTTCAGATGCCCTAAACTCAAGACTTCCAGGAGATTGCCAGGAAGTTACATTATTGCTAAATCAAGGAATGTTCCTGAGGAACAGAAAAAAAAAAAAAAATTAATTGGCATCATTTCTATGGAAACTCAACAGATTTCTTTAACTCAATTTTCACATCTTAAAAAAATGTAAGGAAAAAATGCTGGGAACTTTGGATCATAGATAAATTTTCCATCAAAATGTAGTTTTAAAACCACTTTTCCCGGGGACCAGCAGTTAGCATAATGGCTATGTCTCTGGACTCCCATGTAGTCAACCACGGTTCAAGTCCTGGACCCAGTGCTAAAACTTAGGCCGGGCACGTGTGTGTGTGTTCCCAAGATCCCGAGAGGAGAATGGAGGAGAAGGGATTGCGGCGTGACCATCCCCCCTGGGGGGATGATTTCTCGCTTTCTGTCTCTCTATCTCTCTATCTCTCTCTGTCTTTGTAGCGAGCGCATACACCCTATAGGAAAAAAACTCTACAAAAAAAAAAAAAAAAACGAAAAAAAAAAACACTTTTTCCAAGTTGGTTTGAAATTTTAAAATTCCCAAGAGTGCGGCCAGCTATAGAATACACTGCTACTGTGCCTCCATCCTGCTTCCCAAAACCGAGTCTCAGGGGCGAGTCACAGACTTACTCTTGACTGGCACAAGCCAGGCCACTGACTTACCCAGTGCTTCTGGAGCAGATCGGGGTCTTCAAGTCTGAACTATGCTAACCTAGCTTACCAAGGACTGCTCTCTAACCCCCAATTCTAATCTATTAAACTTTTAACAGGAGAAGATTTCTTCCCAGTGCCTAGAATATTCACATTCATTTGGCTCCTCTCAAATCATAAAGTTTCTATAAATCATAATTAGTAATTAGAAGATGACTAAGTGAGCGTGATCCAGGCAAGGTGTGCTGGAAGACTGTCAGAGCGCCTTCAAGGACCTAGAAAGATCAGGGTAATGTCCCCACCTCTCAAAATCACCTGACAGTTTAGGGTCAGGAGTTCCCATGTTTCACAGACTGTTCCAGCTTCTTCCTAGCTGTGCAGAGGGGCCCTTTCTATCCACATCGAGAACATCCCTTTTACAGTCCTAGTCTTACCTCAAATTTGGCAGGTATCAATTCATGAGGCTCCAGCATTCTTTTGGTTTTTTTAAATGCTAATTTATAAATAATAGATGTCCCTGTTTATGGGGAACATTGTGGGTTTTCAAATGTGTATACATTGTGTAATTATCTAATCAGGGTAATAGAATTGTCACCTCAAACATGTCATTACTTTATGTCAGGTACACTCAAAGTCCTTGCCTGTCGCTAATATTTTGAAGTGTACATTGACTTGACTTGTCTTCAACAATTCTATGGTGCTCTGGTACTTGGGAACTCAAGCGTTCTTTTTTTAATTACTTATTTTATTTAAATTCTTATCATTTTTATTTTACATTTGGTATAGGGCACATACACTCACCAGAAGGGTGGGGAGGGAGTGAGAAAGTCAGCCACCAGGTCCAGACTGGAACCACTGTTGACCATGTGGGAATCCAGCACCTCAACCACCAGGTCACTTACTGTCTCCAAACTCAAGTATTAACAAATTCTCTGCCTATGGTCATGGGTCACATCTGCCAGTCTCCTCAGACACGTCGTTCAATAGTGAATGTCACCAGGGATGGGTTGTTGCTATCATTCTTCAAGGAAAAACCATTTAAGTAGGAAGAAGGAACACATCCACCCTAACCAACTACCTGTACCAGTCAGTCCCAGCTTCAGGAGAGCCTAAGAGCTGTTTGTAGAATTTTAAAAATTTTGTTGTCTCAGCCCTACCTTTGACATTGATTAAACACAGAGCAGATAAGAAAAGTAATTAGCAACAGCCTCAAAACCAACATACATAAAACAAAATCTCACCAAAAGAATTCTCTTTCAGAGGTCACACTGTGGTCAAGATTAGCTCCTAAATTTGTTATATTTCAAAAAGTAATCTGCACAATATAATTTGGATTTTTTCAAGCATTTCAGATCATGTTTCACATAA